ATTTTTATGTATTTTTCTTCCCACCTTAATATACTAAAAAAAACAATGAAAACATTAAAAAAAAATATAATTTATGAGCATCATTGACAAAGCTCTTTGTTGATTTACATAAAGCGCATCAGTTGAAAAGAATTTTTTAAATCTGATACAATACAATACATGACAGAAAGTAAAGAGAAAAAATTATATAAACAAATATTTGGCGGATATACTGAAATAGTACTTGACGGTAACAGTACTCACATTGTATATAAAAAGTAAATTCCGGAAATATCACACCATAATTTGTCACATTCGTATGACTTATCGAAATTAGAGAATAGAAGAATTGTTTAGCACATTTAGCTTTAAATTAGACATGGCACGATCAAATGTCTACACATACATACATATAGCAATTATATACTGATATTGGGGTCGTCTAATAGCACACGATCTTCCCGAAGTTCAAAACAAATCAATTCTCATTGCGTAATCGACAAGCTATGTTATTTTTTTTTTTTTTTTTTTTGCACTTCAACCAAGCGAAAACGACAACAAACTTACTAACTTAGCAAGCACGAGCCGGGGCAGTTAGTACGTCATTAATTTGACAGCACGAGGCGAACAGACAGTGAGACAACATATAGTAGATAACAGACACTTAACAGCTGTCGGAATGTTAGCTCTGACTTGATACTGCCATAAGCGGAATATTTATATGCAAACAGGCAGTTGCACTCGGTTAGTTAAATAAACAACAATTACACGTTGTGTAAAGGTCAGATAAGGTGGGCAGGTAGATGCAGTATGATTATCAATGATTATATATAATATATACATATACATTATATATTATTATCATTATTATATAGCAATCAATAAAACTACGCATAACTATAAATGTTAATCACATTAATTTGATTAGCTCTTATCTATATTCGTGTATTACTTTTAAAAATTTGGACTTTCGGCGCCGTAACGTCAGAGTTATGTATCCAATCAGTGCTGTGGTAATCGTGTACTTTGATTTTCCTTAGTTGCAAACTCATGCCCGATAGCGGTATTTCGCTAATTAAATATGAATGTAAATACTATAACTAAATACCTTATAAAGAATGACTTCCTACAAGCTAGATAACAAATGTACAAAGACCATGCTTGATAAAACTATTACAAATCAAGTTAAATTTTCAATGAAAAGACGCGAAAAACACTTCCTTAGTTTACCAGTAAATCTTAGAATAACATAAAGTCAGGAAGGCTTTATTTTTAAGCACAAATTTATTAATTACAGTTGAAAAAAAAAATGTAAAAATAACTTTAAATAAAATATACGATTTGCGTTAAAATAAAGTAAAGAATAAAAGAAAAATTAAAACATTAAAAAGAAAGTAAGAAAATGCTATATTAATTAATATTAATTAAAGAATTTTTAACCTGTAAACAATAACAAAAATAGAAGAAAACTGTCGAAGATATTTAAGAATATATATAAGCAAAAATACAAATACTATTTAATCAAAATTATTATTTAATCATATGAATTAATTAAGATTAAATCATTTGAGCTATTCAAGAATTTACTGCATAATATAGTTTATTTAACCTCTAGCACCTACTGAATATTCAACTTTCTCTTTCTCTCTCTCTCCTTATCTGCGGTTTACTCACTCTGTTTGTTGTCTCTATTTTTCAGTGGCAAAAACATGAAGTCAGCACAGTTTATTTACTATATCGTTGGCTACTGGCGCTAATATTTCTGGGCGTTTACATCACTTGCATCATTCTGCAATTCTGTGATGGCAAATTTTTTATCTACATGACCAACTGGGGCTTTGGTCTGATCACGATCACAATGATAGTTGCGGCAGTGAACGTCACACGCTGGCACTACGATCTACAGAATGTGCGGAGTCTGGTGCAGGAGGCGGGACAGAAGGCGCGCACATCATGCGGCCTGAAGATATACTGGTGGCTGTATAATATATCATTATTGCTGGCACTAATCATATCCACAGTATACTGGATATTTCTCAATGGTCGCATGAGTGAGTTGGCGAATGCAATTCTAAACACACTATACTAAATAGAATACTTACATAATTCGATTCAATGTGTGTAGACAAACCAACACGATTTCCGGTCATCAGCATTGTAACGCATGCTCTGAATACCGTTTGTATGCTGATCGATTTTCTAGTCGTTGCATTTCCGTTGCGTCTGTGGCACATGGTGCAGACGATGTGCATGGCCATTGCCTTCTTTCTGTTCACCCTCATCTATCACTTTTGCGGCGGCACCGACGAGTAAGTAGCCCGTACACTTGAAATGTCTATAGATTATCTAATTAATTACTTTCGATTTGGATTCGTGAACGCAGATTCGGCAATCCCTATGTCTATCCCATACTGGACTGGAACAATCCCAAGCGCTGTCTGATCACCTTTGTCGGCATTTTCCTAATGATCATCTGCTATTGGGTGCTGCTCTTTGGCGTTCACAAATTGAAGCAGGTCTTCAATCGAGCCTTCAGCATTGTCTGGACACCTCATGCCGTTGGCCTCATATGAGATCAACTCTCTATCTAGCACTGACTAAATACAAAATAATACCACCATCATACAAAACTGCACTCAAGTAGTTTTAGGTAGTACCGCCCGCATTTGCTCATTATTTCCATTTAGTTACATAACTCGCACACACACACACACACACAGACACACACATTGATTGACACACACTTTCATGCACACATTCTATACCATTTATTTATATCAATTTGTAGCTGTACGCAGTAAATTATTGTTATTTGGTAACTACTAGCTCTGCGATTAGTTTATAAGTGCATTTCTACTGGTTCCTTAATGTCGAAGCAATGGACAATTGCTTTGGCTATATATATTTTAACTGTATAAACAGATGAATAAAGCTTATCGCTATGGAATCCATAGCATAAAGATTCCGTTGAAAAATAAATTTAAAAATCAAACAAGAGCATTTTATAATTTAAATTTGTCCATACCACAATGATATGAGAAGAACATTTGAAGTGACAATGGAATGAGATAAAATTGATGTTTAAAAAAATATTATAGAATATTCAATCTAATTTATCATTTAAATAAAATCTTCCTCTTTAAACAATAAACAACAAAATACATATTAAAATATAATACAAATTTATTGCAGATTATTGTAATATTACAAAAAAAATGTATTAAACTGTAAATATAAAATAAAAATGAACGACAGAAAACCATAGCAATACAAACAGCTTCATAATTAATTATTTTATAAATATAAAAATAAAACAAACTAACCAAAATTACTGCAAGAGCTTATAAACTATAACCATTATAAAATTATTTTGAAACTAAAAAAAAAAAAAATATATATATATATATAAATATAAAATATATTTTATTTTTTAATTATAATTAAAATAAAATAAAATTAATTAACAAATAGTGCCAAAAAGTATTGATTAACACAAATGAATAGACTGATATATACTAATTAAACTTAACGAATATTAACATTTTACAACAATTTAAGAATTTAATAAAAAAAAATGTTTCCGATAAAATATAAATATAAGTAATGCCAAAATAATTCACACGTTATAATAAACTAAATTTTCTCTTCTGCTTTCATTCATTTGTAGGAAAAGGATCGAAGTAACTTTGATTGAATATATAAAAATTAAATATAAAATAATGACAAGAAAATATTGTTTATTTATATAATAAACCTAATATGCTCAGTGTTAGAGTTAGGGTATAGAGGCCAATGACATATGCATAAATTAAGCCAACTACCGAGACACAGTGCACATAGGTAGACAGACAAGCACACATACACGCTAACACATGCATATGTAGTACATGCTTATGTATGAATGTATGTATGCATACACAAATCTTTGCTACTTCAGTTACACTCTGTTTTTTCGCACTCTCTCAAGGGTTTCATGTTCGTTTACAGAGTGCTTCGCTAAATCTTGCTAAGCCCCTATCGACTATATTCCCATGAAATTGAAGGCAATAGCTAAAAATAAATATGAATTATGTTTGGATAATCTGTAACACACATTAAAACGGCTTTGATGTGTATTGCAGAATACAGTTAAATACGTATGTATTTATAAATAAAATAACCCACATCCATACAACACGATGTGTCATCACACTTTAAATGATTGCCAAATTACTTGGGTAAAGAAATAATGCCATCATGCTTTACCGAACCAAACACAAACGAGTTCTGCCAAAAGCTTGCAAAAGAAAACAGAGAATAAATGCGGCAAAAGAACATGAATAAGCATAAAATGAAAAGAAAACTGTACAAAGTTAGTTAGAAAGAGGTCTGAGGTAGAGGCGGATTGCTTTTATTCTGTTTACGACGATTGCTGAAACGCGAACAAGAGATGAAAGACTAATTAGGTCTGTTTCTCTCCCGAGGAGTACGAATCTCGGTGCTGGGCACAGCTAAAACATCGTCGTCAGCTTTAATCGTTCAGCAAAAATAAAAAATACACAAGAGCAACAATAACAACAACAAAGGTAGTACACTCAGCGAAACTGAAAACAAAACTGACAAAGAACCTTTTGATGGGCTAACCATGTGTGGATTTGGGCAGAGTTACCCAATTAAACAAAAGGCTTTGTTTAATTAATTTAAATTGTTTTAATGTTAACACCAATAATTTGAATGAGTCGCCCAAGCCAATATGCACTGGATTTGAAACTGTTTTAAATTTATTTTCCTACTCTCAAAGAGTACTCCTCCATGCAAAAGCAATTAAATATGCATTTACATAACGCTTATATCGAAGCATCTACATTTATATCCGAAATTTGTTATTTATTTATAAAGATATATGATTCAATTGTCGTGTATGCGAAACTCAACTAAACTCACCTGTGCTTGTTGACAGCGCCGCAGCAACAGCAGCCGCGGCAGCAGCAACATTTAACGATCAAACGGTATACGGTGTACGATATACGATATTATATGTAGACGGACAGTGGGCAGAGGCATAGCAAATTCTGTGTGTAAGAAATGAAACGAAAGAACCTTAATAAATTATATAAATTAAATAACAATATTATTATATATTAATGGTAATATATTATATATTAATAATAATATAATATAAAATTAATAAAT